TCAGAAGGCAATGCCAAGCGTTTGTAGCCATTCAACAGGATCGTTCACTGGGACTTTCTACCACCAAACTCCGCTGTCAGACCTGAAGCCCAGTGTGCTCTGTGGACCGGATTGCTGCAGCTCTAAAAGAGAAACTCGGGAAAGTCTCTTTTCTCCACGACAGTGCTCGCCCACACATTTCGAAGGAGACCCACAAGAAGCTTCAAAGCCTGAGATGACATGTTATGGCCCACCCACCGTATTCATCAGACCTAACTCCAACGGATTATCATCTGCTCCTGTCGCTGTCGGACCTTCCGAAAAATAAGAAGTTCGATTATGTGAATCAACTCGAGACGTACATTGGCGAGTTTTCCTCCTCGAAACCTCAGGAATTCTACGCAAGCAGGAACCACAAGTTGCCTGGTGAATGGCAATACCTTGTTGATAGTCAAGGTGCATATGCATGTTAATTATTAGTTGTCGTGAAGGAAAAAAATAAATTCAAAAAAAGATTGCAAAAGGCGCAAATACTTTTCCGACAACCTAATATAAGAGATAAGGACCAGTAATGCGAAAAGTTAAGTATTGTTCAAGCCTTATTCAAGAGCCGAATTCAGCCCTCTATTCAAACTTCTTGCTAACTCCTGTAAGCCTTTTCGTCGTGGTAGCCATATTTGGTTTACAAGGAAAATTAGCCTAGGTCTCATGCAAGAGCTCCGGTTATGGTTTCTAGCGGCACTCTTCAATTGAGTCGTTTCCTGTATCCTCTATTGCTTTCTTTAGAGAAATGGAAAATGGGTTGCAAGAAGAGCGAGGGGAACAGCTGAATTCCGAGGCACCCTCCGTTACTGTTCACCAAATGTTCATGAGAAAAAAGAGCAGGTCAAACACAGACAGGGTTCTGATCCGTTGTTCTCTTTGCTCTTTTTTGCATTTTTCTTCATATTTGCAGGGTCGTCGAGACGACTTATGGTCCTTGTTTTATGTACTCATTGAATTACACTGCAAATTACCATGGCAAAGCATCCGAGATAGGTCTAAGGTATTTGTTCTTCGGTAGCCTGGTTGAAAATCATGATAATCATCTGAAAACGTTGTTATTTCAGGTGGAAACTATGAAAATGAATATTTCTGATAAGCACCTCGTTCAAAATTTTCCTCGTGCGTTTTGATAACAATATGGTTTACGAGGCTCTTTCATAAGTTGCTCCAGTCAAATTACCTCCTCTCTACAGTCCTTCGCATCGTATTCAAATAGATTACTGCTCCGTTCGAACTCAATCAACTGAACGGGTGGAAGGCATCCATAGGGGTGATCGTGAGAATCTCGAATTGCATGAGGCGTCGCGATACAACTAACTGGGACTGCCAGGAACTGGATGCTCGAAAGCTGGCTTGTAATCTGGGCGAACTGTGTGCAACTAGCAACTACCAGTATACTCCAGTAGGACCTAACATTATCATTAGAACAACTTTTTTTTGAACCTACTAACAGAACAAAACTGACGAAATTTTTTTAGCAGAACTACGTCATATTGTCCCATATTTGAGAACACTCGACTGTTATCAACGACCGGATTACAGGTTCGAGGGTGTCACCTGCCGATACCACTGCATGCATAAGGAACAAGGTGTTGTATTCATTTTCAGTATGTTTTACAATGGATTGGTAGCACTTATGAAGAGGCTCGGAACGAAACCATCAGACCCCTATGATTGGGAGACCAAAGAACAAGTTGCGAAAATAGTAAGTTATTTTGTATTTGGCACGAAAGTTGCTGTCCAAGTGCTGTTTTGAAAAGGCAATTTTCAGGAGCGTTGAAGGCTTTTTCACTTATTTCTGTGTTTATTTTTTAGCCTTTGTTTATTCGTACAACTATACTAGTTAACCACTATGTTGAAAATTTAGTGCAGTGTTTAAAATGTAGTATGACATAAAAGGAATTGAACTAAATCAGTCATACCAGACTGCATTATGCTTGACTGGTTGGCGGAAGCAAAAAATAAAAAGTTATCTCACTGAAGAGTGCCCTGTAGTGGAGTTATAACCTTTAACACTGCGAAACTTGTTTAGTGATTAACTATTTCAATTACCAGTGTTCCAGTAGGATGCGAGTTTGCCATTCCCTCACGCGACACCATCTTCTAGTATACTGGCGAAGTTACAGAAGCCAAACAGTTATAGAATGTTGCACCATTAAAAGAGGGGGTCTAATAACAAATGAAAACACAAATGATTCAAACAACATGAAAAAGTAACAAAAAAACAATTCATCTAATAGTTTGCCGTTCGGTCTAGGGCTAAAAATTCCGCGCACATTCTTCATGCTGCATACTGCGTGTTGTTGATATTGATCATATTACTTGATAGAATCCAAGGGAGCCATCAAATCTTCTGTCTGAAACAACTGAATAAATGTTGCAGTTGAAGCATACGAAACCTGCTGCATGGGAAGATGCAGCTCAGTTCTTCAAATCCGATCCCATCAATATCCATTCTCCTCCACTACCAAGTGCAGGATCGGTGAGTGACGATCTAAGTCATTTGAGTGTTGCACATATGTGTCCCAGAATTGTCGAACCTGGATATGAGTAGCAGCTCTGTTCAAGTTCGAGAGCAGAACCCTCTTTTTGTTACAGCAAACGGAATGCTTTCAAAAAAACAATAAAACAAAATAATTTGTTATTAGAGACGTTGAATGAGTCAGACAATATTGTATGCCTCGGCCAGGCAAATTATCCAGTTGCCAAATGAGAATAAAAGAAAAGGAAAAATGAGGAAGAAATGAAGCGGTACGGTAGGAAACAGACGCTGCAACGGATCCAGAGGGGCCAATGATAAGTCGTTGCTTCAATGCCGAAGAAGAAAAAGGGAAAGGCCGCACGGAATATAGCTAAAATACGCTATTGTGGGCTACTGAAATGAGTTAATTCACATAGGTTTGCAACTTGAAATCAATGCCATCACCAGAGCTGGAAATTTTGAAAAACCTCGGTAAACAGATAGGTACTCCGTGCAGAATTTTACAAGTAATATAAAACTGTAAAACTATGAAAACAGCTGATCAACCAGCCGATAGACCCCGGTTTCATGAGCCGCCTCGGATGCTGTGAATTTTGGTATCTGCCTCGTACTTATCTGCTAAGTAGGGCAAATATCGATAACAAATAACAGTTAGAATTGGAAATTTTCACATGGATGAATGCTACAACTTCAAATAAAAAGATAGATAGTTTCAAATTCTTAGATATAATTTTTAGAATAGTATAAAGGTTTTGCCGAAACCTTCAATGCCAAGAGCAGTGACACCTCCACGCGAACCCGAACCAATACGTCCACAATTCGAACGTCAAGAACCGGAGCGTCGAAATGAACGCCAAGACGAAAGTTTACGAACTCCATCAACTATTGTGCCGACGCGAACTACAACCACAACCACATCAGTTAGCTTAAGAAAGCACCAAGTACGGACATTCGAGGTCTTACGCTACTCATGGGAATTGAAGCTTGCCGTATCCCGTCTAAACTTTTGATTTTTGTTTTGCAGGACGAGGTCTCTGCAGCTGTATCGGGTCTTGTTGTTACAGAAAACAGAGAAGTTACAGAAAAATCTAGAGGGACCGTTGCAGAATAGGGCTCTGCTGCGGTTATTGTTTTCATAGCAACAGTAGAGTCCTTTTTGCAACTATTATTTTTCTAATTTTAAGGTGATTTCTTCTTCTATCTAATAATGGTGTTACCTGGAGAATACGGCCATTGCATTAGTTTTTATGAATTAATCTTTTCACATCCCTGTCAAATACAGCCAGTAATAACTTTGCCCACTCGACTTTGCTATGAGTACGACACTGTTCGCAAGCAGGGGTAAAAATGCAGGTTGTCGATGTTCACTACCGTCTTTCCGTTCAAACGGTGGGAGAGTGTAGCACCCAATTGTGATCAGTTCATGGGGATTGAGTCTGCTGGCTTGTTGATCAGCTGTTTCATTGTCGTTCGGTCCAATCAGGGCACCAGCAAAGAGTTTTTATAAGGCAGCTGGTCAACCCAACAGACCAGATCCGATCTGCGTAATCCACGTGGAATATTCGTTCGTGTCACACCATGCTTGGCAAAGAATCATGCAAGCTCCGACCTTTCTAGTAATAGTCTTGGATGAATAAATAAGTAAATAAATGACCAGACAGAAATTGCAGCAAGGCTGCTAACTGCTCGGACTTGATGCTTTGTTAAATGTTGTTATTTCGCCGCAGAACGCGATGCGATAGTTTCACAAGGTTGGCGAGTCATGGACAAATCTTCAACCTTCGACGGAATTCGAACCCGTAGTATTGCTCTCCGAGCACCGCGCTCTTATCCATTTCACTACCAGGACGACGCTTGCCCTGGCCTTCGTAATAGCTTATATGCCACAGCTTATCAGTACTCACACGGACAATGTGTTGAGCCCTTCAGCCAATATCAGCATTGAAGCGCTAAGCTGCGCCTTTCTTGTTATGACTTGTTTTGACTTGATGTTTTGTTAACTGCTGTTCTTTCGCAACAATACGCAATTCAAAATTCTTAAAGTGAACAGATTAACAAATTAACAGGTTATAACAGGAAAGGGCTTAACGGTTTAATGCTGATTTTGGCTGGCCGGCTCAACACATTGTACGTGTGAGTGCTAATAAGCTATGGCTTTTAATTCGTTAAAAAGACGAGGTCCCGGTAATGTAAGAGATATAGCACGGTGCCCGGAAAGCGCAAGTACGGGTTCGAGTCCCGTTCGAGACTGAAGTTGTTAAATATATCGCCAACCTTATGTGCTAGTTGCATTTTTCATTGAAAAACAGTGAAGTTCCCTTGTTATATCTCTCATGAACTGCTTTTATTTTCTTCTACAATGACCAACAACTCTTGATCAATTTACGAATTCGGAGAGCAATCTAGCAACGATGCCTGTTTGTTGCCATCATTACCGTTTTACAATCTCGTCCTCTGTGTTCAGTTGCATTGTCGTCTGCGACTTCATGCTCTCTTCCTTTACTTACTATCGTTATGGTAATCCATTGTCCTCCTCCACAACGATGGTCAGGCTGTAGGTGGCGATGGAACCGGACGGAGACGGTAATCCACTGCTGCATGAAGCAGCATTCAGCTGTGGGTCCTAGCTCGAACTCGTTGTCGTGATGCAGTACAGCTTGCTGGCTACCCCACTCATCACTTTTACGGAGAATCGGAAAAGTCTTTCGATTGGTCGGGTATATAACTGAGTTCATGCAAGGTTATGCCGGTTTTCAATATGGTTACGTACCAAACAAACCACGTTCATGTGTACTTTGTGTGGTGGAAACATAAAAGGATTAAGTATTGTGTTGTCCGAAAAGTTTCCGCCGATTTTTGACACCCCGGACTTATCAACCGTTGTACAAAAGATCAAGGACCCAACCAAATAAAGTTATGTTTTCTGAAAGAGTTGGTTCTCCTCTATATTCCTGTTGAGATTCTGTCAACATTTGTCGAAGTTTTTCTGTACAGGACTCGTATGAAGATGGAAAACCACTGCGCGCATTTCCGACATCTGAAGTATTTCTTCTACCGCAAGGCCTAGAATGCGGCTCAAGCCGCCTGAAAGATATATAACGTTTGAGTAGACCATGCACTAGAGGAACGTGCAGTGCATGACTAGTTTGCGGAATCCAAACAGAGTGAATTTGCCTTCGAAGACCGGCAACCCTTAGCGAGACTATCATCAGTTTGAACGACCAATTCAAAACGTTAACGGAAGCGAATCGGCACATCACTGCTCGTGGAGTAGGACAAGAGCTTATTGTTCCGAAATTAA